CCCCGCCAAAAAACAAAAAGGCCAGGAAGAGCTTCCTTGAGGAAGCCATGTTTGAACTGAAACCTGAAGAATCAATAGGAATTATCCAGAGAGGATAATCCTGTTGTGTGGAAAGGCTTTGTGGTGTGTTCATGACCTTGACAAGTCTGGTATAGCTCATGCTGAGAGAAAAAATGGGAAAGGGAAAAGAGAGAAGGTTGGATAGATAGGTAAGCAGCAACCATATTTTAGTGCCAAGTAACTAGCTTCTAGATTTCAGATTTTGTTTGAAAGTCAATGAAGAACCTTTTGAAGGTTTAAAAGTAGGCACTGCGTGATTCATAAATTGCAGCATGTAAGTCAAAAAGTCTTAATACAGTCTGATGTGGAAGTGACTGATGGCTGGCCCAGTAGATAGATGGATGGATGACGCTATCTAAAGGTGGGCTGAGGGGTGCCTGGTGGATCAGTCGGTTGATTGTCTGACTTCAGCTCAGGTCATGATCTCATGGCTGGTGACTTCAAGCCCCGCGTCGGACTCTGTGCTGACAGCTCAGCTGGCATGCTCTGTCCCTCTGTCTCTCAAAAGTAAATATTTAAAATTAAAAAATTAAATGTGGGGGGCGCCTGGGTGGCTCAGTCAGTTAAGCAGCCGGCTTCGGCTCAGGTCATGATCTCTCGGTCCGTGAGTTCGAGCCCCGCGTCAGGCTCTGTGCTGACAGCTCAGAGCCTGGAACCTGTTTCAGATTCTGTGTCTCCCTCTCTCTGACCCTCCCCCATTCATGCTCTGTCTCTCTCTGTCTCAAAAATAAATAAACATTTAAAAAAAAATTTTTTTTAATTAAAAAAAATTAAAAATGTGGGCTGAGATGTCTTGCATAGTGATAATTCATCTTTGGATATGTTCAGGTGTCTAAGAAGGGAGTCAAACTATAAATGGGTTTTTGGACTAGGTTCTTTTTAATTTTTTTTAACATGTATTATTCATTTTTGAGAGACAGAGACAGAGCATGAGCGGGGAAGGGGCAGAGAGAGAAGGAAACAGAATCCGAAGCAGGCTCCAGGCTCCGAGCTGTCAGCACAGAGCCCGATGCGGGGCTTGAACTCACGAACTGCGAGATCATGACCTGAACCGGAGTCGGACGCTCAACCGACTGAGCCACCCAGGTGCCCCTCGACTAGGTTCTTTTAAGGTATGTTATACTATGGAGATTTACAATACCTTGCATTTGTAAATGTCACTACAAATAATAGTTGCACTTACCTCTATGGGTAGCTTATTCTTTTACACAAATTTTCAACTTCTCACTCTAGGCCTACAAGGTAAAAGTTACCCCACGTCACAAGGTATTAAGGCTTGAGTTAAGTAATTTGCTCAAGGTAACAAGGTTAGTGAATAGGAGAGCCAAAAGTTTTAACCCAGATCCATTGTATTCCCAAAGGCCTATCCTCTTAACAGTTACTCTATAAAGATTCTATCCAGGGGCACCTGGGTGGCTCAGTCAGTTAAGCATCCAACTCAAGTTCGACTCAGGTCATTATCTGTGGTTTGTGAGTTCCAGCCCTGCAGCGGGATGTAAGCTAACAGTGTGGAGCCTGCTTGGGATTCTCTCTCTCTTCCTCTCCCTCTGCCCCTCCCCCACTTTCTCTCTCTCTTTCCCTCTCTCTCTCTCTCTCAAATAAACTTAAAAAATAAAATAAAAATAAAAGGATTCTACCCAAACAAGTGCACAGATACGGTAATACGCACTTGATGAATGAACAGTGTAGGCCATAAAGATATTTTGAATTCTTCCAGGGGACTTTGCATTCATCTAATATTTTATTTTAAAAAGTTTTTAATGTTTATTTTTGAGAAAGAAAGAGTGTGAGCAAGGGAAGGGCAGAGAGAGAAGGAGAGAAAGAATCTGAAGCAGGCTCCAGGCTCTGAGCTGTCAGCACAGAGCCCAATGCGGGGCTTGAACTCATGAACCGTGCGATCATGACCTGAGCTGAAGTTGGACACTTAACAGACTGAGCCACCCAGGCACCCCTCACTTAATATTTAGACTTCTCCTATGTGCCAAGCCCTAGGGATACAGTAGTCAATAAAAGGGACATGGTCCCTGTCTTCAAGTTGATAATAGGAAAGACAGATGTGAAACCAAAAATTTCACAAATAACTATAATTGTGTTAAGTGCTTTGAAAGTAAAGTGAGAGGTGCCATGTAACAGGGGGTCTAATCTAGTATAGAGATTCTCAAGCAATGATTTAGTTGTCACAGCCCTATCTTTCTCCAAAAAGTTTCTGATTGGCATTCTTTAATAGTTTCTGACCTATTTTAACCTTTAATAGCCAAATCCAAAGTCTTATCTGAGTCCCTTTTATTCCTTGCTAGAAAAGATTTTGCGTTCAGTCACTAGGAGACTGTGGGTTTAACATCAATAGCATTCACTCCTGAACCAGTAGATCATTTCATCCTGACGCAAGTACGTTTCCAACGGCACTCTGGACTCTGTCTTCTGGATGTGTCTCTGGCACCTCAAGCAACTTGCCTTACCTCCCCTTCTTGCAAGAACAAAACAGTTCTTGCCTCTACCAGGCCTCCCTCTTGCTGTCCTTTCGACCAGAATGAGCAGATTGGAATAGCATCACACAATGTTTTTCCAAAAATTGTCATAACTGACCCCTTTTCTTCCTTTTTCTGCCTCTCCCTCTTCTTGGTGCAAACCCACTTTTGGATTCTTGGTTGTCTTCACAATTGATCTCACAGTTCATACGCTTGTGTGTGAACTCTTTTCATGTAAGTTTTTTAGGTACAGACCATACATTTTGTATTTTCATACCTCCTTGCTGAAAATACATAGGTAGTAGCCAATAAATAATTGTTTTGATAACATGTGATTTAAGTTGTTGTACAGCACGCTACTGTTTACCAAGTGTTTAGAAAATGATATCATTTGTTTCTAACATAAACCTTGCAAAAGATGTGGCATTCCCATCTGTAAAGAGATGAGCAAAATGAGGCTCAAATATGTTTAAAGTCTTCCCAAAGATCACAATTTCTAAACAATAGTGACATGTGAAAAAAGGGAATGCTACAAAATGATCTAGTAATATCCCCCCTCCACATTTACCTAATCCCTAAAGAGCAAACTATTCACTCTTCAGGAAAACTTTCTTTAAATCCTCAAATCTCCACTTAACCTCAGTTAATAATTGCTGTCTCTTCAGTGTATTGTTGGAAGCGTTTTATATCTACACTCCCCAAGAAAGTGACCGCTAGCCACATTGGCTAAATAATTAAATTTATCTAGTTATAATTAAATAAAATGTAAAATCCAATTCCTTGGCCACACTATTCACATCGGACAGAGCAGATACAGAATATTCCCATCATTGCAGAAAGTTCAATTGGACAGTGCTGGGCTAGAGCTAGAACTTGCCAAAGATCAGAGAAAGCAGTATGACTGAACCGAAAATCCAGGCCAGTAGCTGGTTTGTTCTGAGTGAGAAAGTTCACCGGGTGAGTGGGAAGCAAGCTGACCTTTGAAACAGTGACATCACAATGTACAGTTCACAATGGCTCCAGAACACCTCGGCTCCAAGGCCACGCTCCCTAGCCCATATCTAGGTTCCTGAAGCCTCTGCACATGTAGTTCCAGGAGCTGCTGTCTTACTAAAATGTCAACATCTTTGTCCTCATCTTCTGTCTGGGACAACCTCGTAGAATATCTCTCTCTGAGCTCAATATGGAAGTGGCTACAAGCAACTATTCTGGGAGAGACTAGTCCACCTCAGCAAACAAATTTTGGAGTACTAGATACCCTTGCTCCAATTATGCAAGTTATCCTGGGGATTTCTTTTTTGCTTTTGTTGGGAGTAGGAGTATATATCTTATGGAAACGAAGTGTTCGGTCAATTCAGGTCATACTCTTTTGTTCCAGAGGAATTTAAATAGTTAGAAATTGAAACTTGGTTAGTTCTCTCCCACATTGCTGCTATACCCGTATTTTAAGACCATGCAGATGAGGAAAGGATGAACACTAATCTCTGAAATTGGTTGAAACTAGGTTATCCTTAAAAACTTTTGCCAGTTAGGTTTCGAGCATAAAATGCTCTCTCTCTCACAGTGGTTTTTGGCCTGTTTTAGAATAAAACAGATGAAACAAGCTTATAAACTGAGAAGGCAGCTTAACCTCAAACTTATTTGATCACATATTCATCTTTGAGTTTTTACTATGTGCCTGACACCATTAGGGGCACCTTTTCATAGAATAGGCATTGCAAGGATAATTGGGATCTTGGGTTTGGCTTTGCGTTCTTACTGTGACATTGCTCTGTACCTGATGTCAAGGCATGTATATTCATTAGGCACCGATATTTTCATTATTTCTTTGTTTTCACAATATCAGGCTTGGGCACCTGGCTGGCTCAGTCAGTTAAGCATCTGACATCAGCTCGGGTCATGATCTTGCTGTTCATGAGTCTGAGCCTCACGTCAGGCTCTCCGCTGAGAGCACAGAGCCTGCTTCAGATCCTGTCTCCCTCTCTCTCTGCCCCCACCCCCGCCTGCTCATGCTCGCGC